AGCTCTTGGCCTTCTGAATATCTAGGTATATAGATATGAGTCAAATTATCTGGTAACATTTTGAGAACTTTATAATTGATGATGTTCTTATTTTCCATTTGACTTAAATAAAAACATTGATAATAATCCTTTCTCTAATGCCTTCAAATTATTATACATTGGTATTATGTCATAATTTCCTATTGAGATATCAGAACAGCAAGTCAATTCTTTTTTCTCATATTGTATATATATATACATATATATGAGTATTTGTATCTATAACTGTTGGTGCATAGATCTATGCACATCTATGCACATATATGTGTGTGAGGGTATATGTGCATTATTCAATCTTTGAAGATGTAAATTATATTATTGTTATCCATAGACATCCTAATATTAACTGTTGTGTTAGAACTTCCATCGGACTTGAAACAGGTGTCTCAATGCTGAGATGTCTCAATGCTGAGACATCAAACTGTGATGAGCTTTCACATTTGTTCTATCCAAGATGTTTGACTCATTACTCTGCAGCGTCTATTAGAGTGCAGTATAATACAAACCAGTTATTTATGATTTTTCGTAAACACTTCATGAGTAATTCTAAGACCCCTAAATATAAATATATTATTTCTTAATTTTAATCAAGATATTGTATTGACTAAAACAAATTCAAATGATTATTGTTTTCATAAAATTTAAGTGCACACTCTAAAATATTTCATGCCTAACCTATGTCAAAAACCCATGGAGCTGTTTGGGTCTCTGTTGTCTATCTATTAATCTTAAACCACCTGTACCCCTCTACAGAACATGCGGATGTCCCTAATCTGAGATGATTCCTTCCTCTTTACTTTTCTCTGCTAAGTTTGCTTTAGCTATTGTACATCTCAAGTGTTTTCATATGAATTTTAAAATAAGTATGTCTGTGTTTGTGAGAACCTTTGCTGGGATTTTGATAGGAGTCACGCCAACCTCAGGACTAAATTATAGAATATATTTCTCTTTATTTATTCAGGCCTTTCTCAATTTTTTTTCTATCAACACTTTCTAACTTAAGTAGAAGATATGGTTCAATGGTAGCCTTGAAAGACAATGTGTGAATCCTCTATTTTGTACTTTCTTAAGCCTGTTTTAGCAATTATAAATCATTATTTTGATTTAAATTTTGAGCCTTAGGCTTCTTATTATATCACCCAACGTAATTTCTGTTTAGATATGCTCATCTTCATATTTGGCTCATTTCATTTTTAGTTTCAGAAGTTGCTGGATTCTTGTAGTTTTTAATTTATATAATTATGTCATCTGGTAATACAAGTTGATCTATCTCTTCCTTTCTAATAGGTCAGTGTTTTCCTTTATTACAGTATTGCAGTGGCTAGAACCTTTGATGCCAATGAGAGCAAATATACTAAGAGTAGACATCAGGATTTTCTTTTTTATTTGAGACAGGAATTTTCAGTGCTTTTACCACTGGGAGAGGTTAAGTTTATAATTACTTGTATTAGGTTGAAGTGGTTCCTCTTTATTTCTAATTTTTGAGAATTTTTATTATAAATTAGATATTTTCATAGGTATCAGACAAGATGCCACATCATCTTATATATCTAATTGATATGGTAGATTATCTGGATATTTTAATTTTGTGTGTGTGTGTGTGTGTGTGTGTGTGTGTGTGTGTGTAAGACTTGGATTCAGAGCTAAAGCTTTCAAAGCTGACACTCTTCCCTTTGAGCCACACTTCTACTTCCATTTCTTTGATAGTTAGTTGGAGATAAGAGGTTCACACATTGTCCTTCAAGGCTAGCTTTGAACCATGATCCTTAGATCTCAGTCTCCTAAGTCTCTGGGACCATAAATGTTAGCTATCAACACCTGGCTATTAAATGTTGAATGCTGAAGAAGTTTTGCAGATCTGTTGTGCAGTGGTGTATAATTACTTTCATGCAGTTTGCTTTTATTTGCTAACATAACTTTCCAATATTTAAGTTCATGAAAGTTAGAACAATTCAGTTTTATTTCATCACACTCTCAGTTTTGAGACTGAAAGCAGAGAGTAAATTGGGAAAGCTTTTTCCCACTTTGATTTTCTGAAAGAATTGAAAAAAATATTATTTACATGTATGGTAAATCTCTTTGTCAACCACTGCTCTTTATTATAATAAAATGTACTTGAAACAGAAGCATACTTCCACATTTACATGCTATCAATAGGTTTGTTGTTGGTTGTGTGTGTCTGACTAACCTGCAACTCTGTATTCAGTCCATTCCTAGGAGCAATAATTGTGACCTAACTTTAACTCTTGCCATTTAGAAAATATACACTAGTTGGTATTTTGAAGAATACCATTTCCTATCTTCTATTTAGTCCATTTTTACCCACACAAACATTTTATTCTTTTTTTTGTTATTAATAAGTTTTTTTATTGTGAAAATTCTGTACATTTACATCATGTACAATTTACATCATGTACAATTGCATGATCAAGGTGATGAGTACATTTCTTATCAAGTATTGTTGCTTCCTCCTTTGTTTCCCCTTACCATCCCTGCCCATCTCCCCCCCCCCTCAATCCCTCCCCCGTCCATGCCGCTAAAGTTGTAAAGTTTGTTGTAGCAGGGTATAAAATTAACCCTCAAAAATCAATGGCTTTTCTGTATGCCAACAATGAGAAAAGCGTGACTGAAATCAGGAAAGCAACTCCATTTGTAATAAATAGCCCCACAAAAATGAAATACCTAGGAATTAACCAAAGAAGTGAAAGACATCTATGATGAAAACTTTCAAAACCTGAAAAAGGAAATCAAAACAGAACTTAAAAAGTAGAAAATCTCCCATCCTCCTGGATTGGAAGGATCAACATCGTGAAAATGGCAATACTTCCCAAGGCTATCTACAAATTCACGCGATACCTATTAATATTCCAACCTCATTCTTCAAGGAACTAGAAGAGGCAATCCAAAAATTCATATGGAACAACAAAAGACCCCGAATAGCAAAAACATTAAGGATTTTGTTTTCTTTTGTTTTACTCTTTCAATGACATGAGCAATCTATTCCAAATAGGAGAGAAAATAAATGGAATAATACCAAGTCATTTAAAGAATAACCAAGGGATAAACAACAGAGTTTTTAATTTTGTTTTGCTGGAAAGCCTCTCAGAAACTCTCCATTCTTTTCCTATGATTTAATTTCCTACAAAAATCTATAACTGAAATTGGAAGAGGCCAAAACATCAGGTTTCTTTGGTGTACTTGCAAAGATTGAAATCTGGACGTGGATGGTAAATGAAAGCAAAAACCCCTCAGCAGACATTTTGAAGATGGACAGTAGCAAGGTCTGACACATCTTCAAGTGTCACTTCATGGAAATATGCTTTGGTCCCATCTGTGAATCTAGTAAACTAGCACATCTTATTGTGGACACAGCCCTTTGGTGTGGGAAGCAAGTTTCTGCTTTGGTCTCTGGTGGATTTTGTTCCCTATTCCCTAATGCCATTTTGTTACGGCAAACCTTTTGTTAACTGTCAGATAAAATGGATTGGGCTAAGTTCCCCGAATTAGACAATTTTTCTGCCTGAACTTGCAACTTCAGCTTAAGTTGTTTCGGTTGGCTTTTTCATCCTTTTGAGGCTCACTCAAGATGATTAATCTCTATCCTTTTATCTATTCAGAGGAGGAGACATTGTCAGTGGTCAAGAATTTTTCATATTTCTGCTGACGCTTCTCTTTGACTTTACCTTGGCTCTTAATCCTTTCATTTTTGGAACAGTCTATGTTCAATCTGCTTTTATTAGAAAGTCTCGCTAAGGCTAGTTGTATGCAATATAAGCATTCCAGAAATTGCAGCCAAAGTCTCCCTAGACGTCTTAAAAATGATGGTCTAGGAAGACCTCTAAAAATGAGCTAGGAAGAGACAAATGGAGATTGGCCAATACCAGTTAGGAAATGCGGGTCAGTGAAATCTCTACAAAGAAAAATATTGAAGTGAAAATTGGAAACCAATTATACCTTAAGTCAGGTGCCAGGGGCTTATGCCTGTAACACTAGCTATTTTGGAGGCTGAGATAAGAGGACCTCAGTTTGAAACCAGCCTAGGCAAAAATGTCTGTGAGACAACTTGTTCCAATTAACCAGCAAAAAGCTAGAAGTGGAGTTGTGGGTTAAAGTGGTAAACCAGTAGCCATGAACAATATTGCTCAGGGAAAGCACCAAGGCACTGAGTTCAAGCCCTAGTGTTAGCATACTGTATTTCTATCTCTATCTTTATATATATTTCTATCATCTATCTCTATCTCTATTAGTCATCTGCGTCTATGTGTCTTGACCTATTTCTATATTTCTACCTCTGCATCTATTTATTTAATCTATCCATTAAATTCCTTGTGAACCTGAAGACACATACTATGCTCTGCGTTCTTCATACAATGCTCTGCCATCTTAAAGAATGACATTGCCCCATTTGTTAGGAAATGGAAAGACTTGGAAAAAATTATATTAAGTGAAGTAAGCCAGGCCCAAAGAAACATAGATCCCATGGTTTCCCTTATTTGCAATAACTAGTACATGTCTAGGCCAAGCAGAAAAGGTCAAAAGCTATGTACATATGACCATATAAGATGATGCTAAGTGAAATGAACCCCAAGATAGGGACACTAGAGGTTTTATCTTTGTTGCTGTTGTTTTTTTTTTTAATATATTTACAATATACTATGTGATTTTGGTTTCTTTGTATGGTCTTCCCCCATGGTATAACTCCTGTTTTCATTGTATTTTATTCTGCTGCCCTGCATCTTGTTTATACATTTTTCTAATTTGGGGAGGGGAAGGGGAATAACAAATTGCTGAAATAAGGATACAGGTTGACCCATTTTAGCAATGAGATGTAGAAGACACTATGTTGAAAATGAACTTTATGACTTGGGGGGCTGGGGAGAGGAGTTGGGGAGGTGGGAAGGGCAGGGATGGTAAGGGAAAAACAAAGGAGGGGTAACTATACTTGATAGGATATGGACTCATTACCTTACTGCTGTAAGTTCTTTAGGCTCTGGTATAGGTTCAGGCTTGGGAGCTTTCAGGATGTCACTAGTAGATGTGGCCTCTTGTACTGAAGGTTCTTTTATTTTCACTGAAGGTTCTGGAAGCTCTGGACTTTTCTCCTTCTTTTCTGGAGCAGGGGAAGGACTCCGGCTCTTGGTTCTGTGACGGGGAGATCGAGAATGACTGCGCTTTCTCTCTCTCCTGACAGGGGAAGATCGTCTTCTAGGGGAAGGAGATCTGGATTTGCGTCTTCTTGGGCTTCGAGACCTCTCCCTTTTTTCTCTGCTGCTCTCTTTTTCCTCTTTATCCCTCTTATCTTTGTCTTCATCTTGCTTTTTCATCGATGCCAATTTTTCCTGTTCAATTTGTCTCTGTTTTATTTCTTCTTTCTTCAGTTCTAGGAAAGCAGAAGGGATTCCAGCGATGTTTTCTTGTGCACTTAACAGCAGAGGCCACAGTTCTCCCATAAATTCTCTAGCATTTTTTCCATTCAAAAACCCAGTCAGGTTGATTTGCATCATTTTGGAATCTGGATTCTTCACTTCCAGCTGGTTGAATATAAACTCAATCACAACATCATCTTCAAACCCAAGGATTTCCGTTACTCGTTTTGTTATCCAAGGCTTTATAACCTCCAAATTTACTTTGCTCATGTCCACCTTTTTCTCTAGACATTCTGCAAATTTCAGTTGTTTCAGTAGTTTCTTCTGTTTGTTGCTAAACCGATTGTCCTGTTCTGCACTTGTCCCGCGGAAGAATCCCGCGTCCATCTTGCTGCCTCGCTCAGAGATCGCTCCTTATCCCAGGGTGCACCGCGCCGCCGCGACGGAGGGCGGGACCAGCGGAAAAGAGTCGAGGGCCGAGACGCTGCGCGCGCGCGCGCGCACCGCTGCACCCGCCTCGTCCAGCCGACACGAAGCCGCGTCTGCTCAGTGTACAGTATCTTTACAATAAAAATATATATTAAAAATGCCATAAGTGGAGCTGTGGGTCAAGTGGTAGGGCTAGCTTTGAGCACACAGCCCTCAGGAACAGTGTGCAGTCCCAGAGTTCAAGCCCAGGACTGGCAAAAAGTAGCATAAAGTAATTTACAAATTAAAAAATGTTATAATATTTTATTTTTTAAAAATTTTCCAAATCAAGTACATCTGGGTACATGAATTTATAATGACAGAAAAATGCAACATATTTTTCAGCACCAAACATAATTTTTAGCATACAACCACACATCGCTGAGCCATCAATCACGTTTTTAGAAATGATTTTCCTTAATACTTCTATTGCTTACAGGTAGACCTGTCTCTCATTGGTCAGAGGACATTATCCTTATTTAACATATCATTTGGACCTTTACGATGGCCATTTGATTTTATCCTTGTTGCAATTTAGAAAGAGAATCGTATGAGGCCATTAGAGTGGCACTGCCACCACGCAAGCTTGCCATGTGGAGATCAAGCACAGTCAAAACAACAGGCAGCTGGTTTTGATGGGTCTTAATTTCCACATTATCTGTTCATCACCTATCTATCTACCATCTACCTATCAATATCTACTTATCTATTATTTATCACCTATTTGTCTGTTGAATAGTGGGAGGGAGAGGAAGGAACAGAAATGATGTTGCATTTATTCACTTGTTTGTGAGGGTGAGCCTAGCCTCAATAGGTTTAAATCTGCACCCAAAAAAACAAACACAGAGGTGATTCTCATCCCTGAAGGAATGAGGACAAATTATCTATAATTTGGGACATAACAAGGCCTCCTTTTCACCGGTGTGAAAACAACCCCGAGAAACAGTGCAGAGACACACTAGGAGAGAGCTGCTTTCCCCACATCGGCAGACAGGGCAGGATGCGGGATGCTGAGGGCGGATAATCATCACTGCCTATGGAGGGAAAAGGCGAGCTACTGACATGACTTTTACTCTTGATAACTTCATTTTCTCCCCTTGGGATTTGGAGGCAATATCATCCATTGATAGAGTGTGTGGGTTATGGGTTGTTAGCACAGAATTTCTCAGAAAAAATTGATCTTGAGTACATGTCAAAGTATATTAACTTGGTAATAGAGGAACTCACCAGAAGAAAATAGAGTGTGTCAGGTCATGGCGGTGTTGGGGAGAATTTTACATAGAAAGAAGAAATGCTGATTTATAGATGTCACTAGTTTGCCGAGGTCAGATATTGGCTTATTTTGCACCATTGCAGAGCGTGCGATCGTTGGGAAATCAGCTCTGCTCTGCTGGTTAGGACGGTTAATGGTGGGTGTTCAGACACCCACCCTTAATGGTGGGTGTTCAGACACCGCACCCACTTCCCAGTGTCGTCATCATGAATTGTTCTGGAAATAACGGGGCCACTGACTGAGTAGCTAGGATGACATGTGTGGGCCCCTACTGCCTGGCCATGTGCAGTGCTATTTAAAAATCTGTTCTTGTAAGTAAGAGCATATATGGTCTTTCGGCTAAATTTCCCTTTCTTAATAGTATTTAATAGTTTTGAATAAACACCAGAAACCAGACATTACTACTCTAGCTTTTATTCATACTCATAGAGTCTCAATAGGCCTGAATATGTCAAGATGAGCCTGTTACTGCCCTGACTGCAATGAACAACGCCTCACATCTTGCTTCTTCTGTGTGTCTGCAGCTGCTTCACCAGACTCTTGTGCTCTCATCCAACTCCAGGACGCAAGGACTGTCTGAAACATGGCTCTAAGAGTGAAGGAGGGAGAGTTGATTAAATACACGTAGTGCACATATTTCCTGTTCATAATTCCTGCTCTACAATTAGTCACCTGGCTACCACCCAACTTGATGCAAACAAGAATGGCTCTCTACTGTGTGACTGACTGATTTCCCCTCTGGCCACCAATGACCCACGCACCTTTCTTTTCCAGACTGGATGTGTTAAAAGGAACACACGGGCTTCTTATTGAGTCAAGTCATTGCATTCAAGGCTCCTCTCATTTTCAATGAGGCTGTACCCCAGAATCAGCAAAATGTATCTTTGGTTCTGCTAACTCATAAATCATAAACCAAGTTAGAGTTGCAAAAATGTACAACCAAGACGCAAGTTGGAATAGTGACAAGTAAATTGCATAAATCATCCCCTGTGGAAGTAAGAATGTGAGAAATGCACCAGTAATTACTCGGGAGCATCTGGAAACAGCAGAGTACAATTATGTCTCTCCTGAATGTCCTGAATTATTTCTGAAAGTTTCTGGTGCCTTTGGTACTAGTGTTGGTCTGTTGTTAACCTTAGCATTTGTCTTGTCAACCAAGAGGTTTTGTTGTTCTTAAACACAGTTTATTGTGATTCTATTGATTTTCAACAATATTTTAAACTTGCAGAATAGATTTACACTTACAGGAAAATATAAAAGACAGCGAATTACTTTCTATAAACTTAGACTCTTTCTCCTATTAACTTATTTTGTAAGTTTGGTACACTTTTAATTAATGAATACAAGTAGATATTGTCAACTAAGATCTATACTTTATTCATATATATATATATATATATATATATATATATTGTTACCTAGGATACATTTTCTCATCAGGGCCATGTTTGAATCCTTATTTTTAGCTTATTTTTATATTTTAGCTTATTTTTTTTTTAATTTTCTGTGCCTGTTCTGGGGCTTGAACTCTGGGTCTGGGCACTGTTGGAGTTTTTGTTTTTGTTGTTGTTTTGTTTTTAACTCAAAATTTGAACCCTACCACTTGAGCCACAGATCCACTTACAGTTTTTTGGTGATTAACTGGAGCTAAGAGTCTCTCAGACTTTCCTTCCTGGCCTGGCTTTGAACAGTGATCCCCAGGTCTCAGAGTCCTGAGTAGCTAGGATGACAATCATCTGCCCCTGGTGCCTAGTTACCTTTGTCTCTTAAACCTCAATAACTTCTTAGTTTCCTCTTGACTAGGTTTATGAGATGCTTCATATTTCTATGTCTTCCAGTTTTGAGTAGAACTGGTCAGACTTTAATACTTTTTCAATTTCCTTCCAGGGTGACACCAGTGATGCTTTTATCAGATTAAATTGGGTTATGAAATTTTGATAAGAACACACTGGGGAAAATCTATTCACATCCTATCAACATGATTTAACACATTTAAGATTAACTTGATCACATGGCTCTTTTGGGTTTTGATTTGCATCTTATCTGATAAGTTAGAATGTGGAATATCTTTTCTCATATTTAGAGCTATTTGCAAATCTGTTGGGAAATATGCTTTCAAACTTTTTTCTATCTTTAAAACATATATTTACTTACTTGCATCATTTTTATTTTTTATTTATTTGAGCCTTGAACTAAGGGCCTGGGCACTGTTCCTAAGCTCCTTTTGCTCAAGTATAGCATTACCACTTGAGCTGTACCACCACTGCTGGATTTTTTTGTGATTAATTGAGGCAAAATTTCATGGACTTTCCTGTAAGGTCTGGCTTCTAACTGTGATCCTCAAATCTCAGCCTCCAAATACCTAAGATTACAAGTATGAGCCACCAGTGCCTTGCTGTCACTTTTATTCTTTGTTGTTTGGTTGACTCTGCTGCTCACAGTGATTATTAATTTATTCAGTTTATGCCTCTTTATTTCTTAAATGATACCCTTTGAAAGTAAGCCATTTATTTTTAAGTTTGAATTTTACATATTATATATCTTAGGTGCCATGCTTGTGAAATTTCCATATTTCAGACCATAAAGATTTATCTCCTTTCTTTCTCTGATTTTGCAGAATTTTCTGTATCATGTTGAGTGTTAAGATCCATTTTACATTTTAGACTTGTGTGGGTAAATTTACAGATTCTCGATTGAGTTCCATTGAGTCATGTTACCAGTACCATGTTGTCTTGATTACTGAAACCAAGTAATTTAGCTCTTGCAGCTCCATTCTTTTCCATTATGGTGTTGAGAATTCTGGAATTTTGGCCTTTGAAAAAGAATTTGGGACAAGAACATTGCTATTTTCAAAATTCTTCGTTTATGGTTAATGTTGGAATGATATCTTCATATTCAGTCTTCTGATACCTGAGCACAACACGTCTCATTTCCTCAGATTTTATTTCGTTATATTTAACTCAACTGATTCAAATATAGATCCCACGTGTATTGTCTTAAACTTGTACCTAACCAAGTATTCCATTTGTGGGGATTTTGTTGTAATGGTGAGTGGTCCCTTGGGCTGACAGGTGTAACATCTGCAGAGCAGCTGGATTTTCAAGGTGGAAATCTGGAGGAGACACATTTCGGGATCGAGTCTGAACTTTGCTGGCCAGAAACTCAGGTGTAGCTTCTTGAGGGTCCTTACTGAAGAAACACGAGTCTTTGCTTTGAGAGATTTCAGTTTGGGAATGAGGTCCATGTGTTGTAGAGGGCAATTGCCTTAATTCAAAGTCTACTTATTCAAATTCTAATTATGTCCAATAAAGAGTCATCCTTGCAGAAACATAACATGTTGACTGAGGAGCCTGGCACCTTAGCCTAGCTAAATTGACCTTATCATACTCAGTTCTGTCTGTCTGTCTGTCTGTCTATCTAACCTTACTGATGACAAACAATATATCCTATGCCTTTTATCTTTGATGTACTTTGTCCCACTGACAAAAAAATTCCTTGTTACTAGTTTAATCCAACCCACATTTTTTTTAAGCCGGTGATGTGAAAATGTTGATTTCAGACTTGCTGTCAGCAAAATTTCAATGGACCTCGTTGCTTGCTTCCAACTTTTGCTCTTTGGAGATCAGAAGCAGTTGACTCTTCTGAATACAAAGTCTATACA